ACATTTGAACATAGAAAACAGTCTTTATTTATAACACCTCAAGTACACAACGACTCTAATAAATCCTGATCACAATTTTTACTCGTAGCTGCACCACACAACTGCTATTTAATAAAACCTGAAATACAATGGAATAAAACATACACCAATACCTAACATTTTAACTTTTACAACCCAATAGCAGCGTTTTCACAAAGTTTAAAGTTTCCAACTAAGAAAACGTGCTACAAGCAATGAAGATTAATCATTCTAATGTCTTCTGCTTTAACAGGAAGAAGGCCTTTGATTCACAGAATGTTAGTTCAGATATTAAAGCCTGTCGGTTACCATATCAAACATTTCTACTTTGCAATTCAATTAAGTTTCCCTGGCACTTTTTAACGTGAGAACCAAACAGCATCAACTACTACATTTATCTTGGCACCGATGGGCTCACCTGAAACCCTGCTCTCTAATGGCGAAGGCTGGCGTCTCCAAAGGCAGAATCTCAGACTGGACAAACAGCTCTCGTGCCCGCCTGTCAATCACTTTCCCGTACTGCGCTCCTGCGTCTAGGATCACCACGGCACCCTCGTAGGAACATAAACCATCTTTAGGCTCTCCGACGATATCCAGCTGCAGATACACACATACACAAATAGCACAGTGAAGAACACACATTACGTAATTCCCCATGCTAAGCAAGTAAAATGCTACTAATGAAATTTGTGATACATTTAAAGGCGCATGTGTGCATGTGACTGGAGACTAAAGATGTGCTGCTTCTGATAAATCAGTCACATGAGTCACGGAAGGTGATGTCCCGTGTAGTGCAAAAAAAACGGACCCTTATTACTGCTTTTGTGGTCCAGGGTCACAAATATCAAATACAATTCCATGAACATATTTATATATTAATTAATTAATTATATTAATTTTATTATATATATATATATATATATATATATAATCAAAGTATCAAGTATGATCTAGATGAGCAATTACAGCACAAGGATCAAAACTTGCTAACACAACACAACTCACAAATTGATGCTTGAGGAATGGGCAGTAAACTTTTGAGCAATTCTTGGACATTAATCATAACTTTGTTCATTCTGAATAACTTCCAAACACAGCTTGCAGATCAGATCAGTGAGACAAAAAATAGATCACCTATTATATTAATTAAGAGAAAATGTACATACTACAAAAGCATGCATCTCTCACTATAGTTTATAAGTACGAAACGCTCCCACGTGGTTTTGTGAGTAACACGAAAACAGCACTTTCTGACCGACTCCTGCACACACACAAAACATTAGAAAGCGCCGGTAAAATGCATTTAAAGTTATTTAATGGACACTTGAAAGAGTGCAAACACTAACTGGTAGTCATTTAATATGCAAGCATGACCCCATCTCCAGTGTGAAAATGCACTGGCCTGTACACCATTTCCAGCTCATAATAGCATGTTAACACAGACCAGTTCAACTTTTCAGTCTGTCCTACTTAAATGTATAAAGTATAAATCTTTTGCAGCAGCATGAAACTCAACAGCGCTTCACGGTTGGCTGTTCATTTCAGCCACAGCTCTGAACCCTCATTAGCCATGGCAGCTCAGCATGTCACATTGATTGTGGCTAACTAGCATTAGCTTGTGCGCGCGAGCCCGGCTAAACACAAGAACAAGCTGCTGTTTCTCAGTTCTGCGGCGCGCGGGTGAGCCTCTGAGCTAAACCTGGGGCATGCGATCATCTCACTATAGCATAAACCATACCACGACATCATCCAGGTGGAGTGCTGTAGGCACGGACCGACAGTAAATTCTCCATTACACCAAATATGCCTTAATAAATGTACAGTGCAATAAACCCCGGGTCCGCGGCGCGCTCTAAGTTTCCCAGCGCAGACAGGGCCGCGTGTGAACGGGGAGTACCGGTGGCGAGAACCGGTGATACGCACAAGGACGGGTAGAACAGTTTGGGTTGTGTACATGCTTAGGCCGGTTTACTGACCTTGCTATCCCCGTTACACAGCGCCATGAATGTGTGATGTGGAGCGGACACCCTTGTCTTGCCGTGTTTCTGTTGTAAGCGTGTTCTCTTCCGTGTGATCGTTAACAGTGTCACCCACTCGCCTGCTGCTGGTCGCTTACAACTACAGCTCCGTATCTCTGCCTGCTCGTGGTGTGCGATTGCTGATAGGGAGGAGTTTGACGTTCGGAGTCAGAGAAAAGTTTCTGTTGGCTGGGGGCCTCCGGTGGGCATGGGAATCCTAATAACGATTCATTCGTTTAGTACTTTTGAAGAAGAAATATTTGGCAAAAATATACCCAAACAAGTTAGGTTAAGATGATTTCAGATTCGACCAAAACACATATGACAAATAATAAATGCATTTAATAGGTTACAGTTATTGCAAGTTGTGTTTGCAACAGATTTCTGTAGGTAGGCCTACCTTTTAAATAATTGACCCTTGAAATAATTGATCAGGGTAGGCAAAATTACGGTGGCCGAGAAGTGCAAAGCAAACCACAATTCTGAAACCAAAATAACAAATTACAAACGCAAATGCAAGTCTAAAAAACAAAATAACAATTCAGAAAGCACAACAACAATTCAGAAAACATTATAACAAGTTAGAAAACACAATGACAAATTCGAAAACAAAATAACAAGTTAGAAAACACAATGACAAATTCGAAAACAAATTAACAAATCAGAAAACACAACGAAAATCAGACAAATCGGAAGAGGTAGGTATAGTTTGAGACAGTGCCATTGGTTTGGGATTTCGTTTAAAAACGACTTTTCTTCTGTGGAACATTATGAAAACTCTAAGGGATTTTATTTAGTTAGTTTCTTCAAGATTTTATTTTTCTTCAAAATTTTTTCTTTTGTGTTCCACAGAAGAAGAAAAAATTGGAACAACAAACGGGTGAGTAAATGAAGACAGGGTTTTCATTTGTGTGAACAATTCCTGTTATTCAGTTTCTGTAACCTGATTCCTAAGTGTTTTGATTCATAAAAAGAACTGGTTAATTCGGGAAATGGCGCTGGCTACCCTGGCTCTGTATGGTTTGATTCACTAAAACTGGCTCAGACAGAGTCAGAGTTTGTTCAGATTCTGTTTGCTGTAGGCCTATGTTTCGCACTGTAGATTCAGTAGATTTGGTCAACAGTCAGAAGTCCGAGTTCCTGAAAAATAGCTTTATTCCAAACCTTAGTCAACTCGTCACAGAGGCAAAAGAAGTTTGTGACAGAGTTGTATCCTTCTTGAAGATTTATTTATTTATTTATTTTTTGTCCTCCAGTGGAATGAATAGGGTGTGTGTTTAAATAAAACATTTAGTCATGAAAAGTGTTCTGGTTTGCTTCATTTTTGACAACGCATAACAGGAGAGATTTACTACACTGTTACAATCTTGAAGTCAACTGCTATGCATTGTGAAATCGATGAACACAAAGTCTTGTGTTCACTGTAGCTTACATTTTCACACCCTCTCTGTTTAAATATGACGATGACTTTGCACCTCTGCATAATATGACACCTAGGCTATATGTTTGCCCTGAATGCTGCCCATATTCAGAATTTAAGTATTTAAACATTGATATGATAAGGCAATCATAGGCCTATTTGAGTGCGTTTATGTGGTCTTGTGTGACTTTGGATGCTAATAGAAAAGGTTTGATTTAGTTTACACTCACACGTCTGGTCACATGTCTTTATTCAACATTCTCAGTCACATGCATTTAAGCCTCTTTACTGATTCCATACACAGCTCCACACACTGCACATACAGTCATTCATTATCTCTGTAGAGGAGATGTCCTCTTTCACAGTGAAAGCATACAATGGCGTATAAGAACATAAAGAGCAAAACAACACACTGCTTTGTACAGGATTGCATGTTTTTTAAAGATCAACATTCATACAACAACTAAGTATATCATATTTATGAGCATTGCAAGTTACATTATGTCAATATGCATAATAGAAATAAGGTAAAAAAGATATGCTAAGCATATAAAACACATTTCATTCTTTCAGTTTTTCTCTCTTTTTTCCCTTTCAGTTATGGCTGCTGCTTCTAATTACACACTGCATCTGTGGCCTTGTGTGAATGGGATAGCTATTTCAGGCCACGGTCACATGTGTTTTAGTTTATGCGTTTTGATTCTAGTTTGGCCTGGTGTTTAGAAAGTCATTAAATTTTAATATGAGCCAGTAATATGTTTTGAGAAGCACCATGAGGAAGATTTATTCATACATTCTTGCCTATGCACACCAGAGTGATAGGCTACCGATATATAAGGCCTCTATAACAATTTAAATTTTTTCAGTTTTGAAAACTGATCAATATTCAGCTCATTATTTTACTATGTTACATTATATCATCTATCTATCTATCTATCTATCTATCTATCTATCTATCTATCTATCCATCCATCCATCCATCCATCCATCTAATTCTATAAATATAATTACATTAAACAACATGTCAATAGTTTAGTTTAATAGCACTAATAACACGTAATAACACTTTTATTATAATATATTGCTTAGCTTACTGTTTGTAGGCTATATACTTTAAAAATTGTTTGTACTGTTTGTACTGTTACTGTTTGTATTCAGCAAGGATGCATTAAATGTGATATTCATTTGGCAGATTTACTCTCTGTTTATCAAAGAATCCTGACAAAAAAAGTATTACAATTTCTGTATTAAGAAAATTTGATACAAAACAATAAGAAATGTTGTGAGTAATGGCTTTGCATCCCAGGAAATTATACAACAGTCATTTAAATACTAATAATATCTCTCAATAAATGCAGCAAAAGAGACTTTCCTCAAAAAAGCAAAACAATATTAAGATAATAAATATATATATAGCAAACCTGTCACGCGTCAGTTATATGTAATATATGCCTGCGTAAACGGTGTGTAAATGTCATGAAACCGGGCGGAACTAAAAACAGACGCTGTAAGACACGTCAGCTGAAGCATTCGGACACATTTTGCTGACGCACCGCTCCGGCTTCCTTCTCATTTCAGCAGTCAGGTGTACTTACTGCGCTTCTCTGCGTCTTGTAAACACTAGGTATATGATCCATTTACGTGGATGTTTTGGTGTCAGTAAAGTGCTGCTCATCTGAAGTCAAGAAACAGTCTGTTTTTTCCCCCGTCATTTATATAACGTTAAGTTAACGTTTTGTTCATTGATTCATTGGTATGTCATCATAGTGCAAGGTAACCATGAATCAGTATATTTTCTGCTTCTATTCCATCTCATACTTGTGTGATTCTTTCTTTCTGAGTATGTTCGCTAATCAAAATGTGTTGCATGATAATGTCTCTGATGTGATGTCGTTTGTTTACTCAGCTTTACGTGCCATAAGAATCAGAACTAGCTTTTTTTATTTGTGTTTTGCTAAGTGGTTTCGTGTCAGAGAGCTTCTCTGGAGTGGAATACATATTTTTTCCCCAGTTTTCGTGGTTTTTAAGGCAGTTATTTCTTTCTTTTGCTGTAGTGTGCCAGTAGTTATCAGTTTACATTTCCAAACATTTATTTTGCTTTTAATTGTAAATGGAATGACATGAAGAACCAGAAAAAAAAACGGAGATCCAGAAGAACTGTGACAACGTCTCCGAGATGCTTGAAGAAGCCTACCTGCAAAGCTACAGTACTGTTAAAAGGCACTTGTGAAACAATGCTGTAAAGTGAGGATTCTTTCAAAAATAATGTCATAGATTTGATCTATCAGTTAACTTCTATTAACTATTAACACCCTTTGCATGTTAAACCGCTTTTGTCCTTGGTACACTTGCGCATAGTTCTGCAGGTAGGTTTCCTCAAGCATCCTGGAGACATTGGTATATACATGGTAGTTTAGTTACTAAAATGGAAAAGTAAAATGGAAATGAAAATTAATGAAAGCCGTATAAACATATTAAAAACAAAAACTCAACTCACACAATTACCAATACTAAAATTTCAATTAAAAATAATTTAGAGTGTGTGTGTATATATATATATATATATATGTAATATAACACTGCTTTTTTTAATAAATATGCAGGTGTTTTGAGGACATATTTGGATTGATGCCCGGGAGGTTAAGATGGAACTGTCTCAATCTATCACACACAAAAACGGGAGGCAGCGGAAGCCCGTGGTGTCCAACTCTGATATAAGTGAAAGGGAATCCAAGCTAGAAGTGGAGGATGACGAGGAAGCTCTTCTGCCAAACTCAGACCGGGCTGATGGACAAACGAAAGCGAGTCACGGAATTAAAGGAGAACTGGCCAATGTGGCCCTGTTACTGTTTTTATATGTGCTTCAGGGCATTCCCTTAGGCTTGGCCGGGAGCATCCCTCTCATCATGCAGAGTAAGAACGTTAGCTACAAGGACCAGGCCTATTTTAGCTTCGTCTTTTGGCCCTTCAGTCTAAAGCTGTTCTGGGCTCCCCTGGTGGACTCGCTGTACCTGCGGAAGTTTGGCAGGAGGAAGTCGTGGCTGGTGCCCACTCAGTACCTGCTAGGTCTTTTTATGCTTTACCTGTCCGTCTCGGTTGACGCAATGCTTCAGACCGATGGACAGAGGGGGCCTGATGTGATCACTCTGACCGCAGTCTTCTTCATGCTGGCTTTCCTCGCAGCCACGCAAGATATTGCCGTTGATGGCTGGGCTTTGACTATGCTTTCCAGGGAGAATGTGGGTTATGCTTCCACTTGTAACTCTGTGGGTCAGACTGCTGGATACTTCCTAGGAAATGTGTTGTTTCTGGCTCTGGAGTCTGCTGATTTCTGCAACAAGTATCTGAGGTTTGAGCCTCAGGAACGGGGCATTGTAACACTCTCAGGTATATTTAACAATTGTTATATTTATTATATATAATGATTATTTGTTTAAAGAAATTAATATTTGTATTCAGCAAGAATGCATTAAAATGATCAAACGTGAAAGTAAAATCTTTGTTCTTTGTCACAGAGCATTTTTATTTTAAATAAGTGTTGTTCTTTTGATCTTTCTGTTCACAAATGGATCCTTAAAATAGGATAACAAAAAAAATATTAAGCAGCACAACAGGAATAAATTATATATTTTTAAAAAATATATATTTTTAATAGAAATCTAATTCCAACTATTTTCACAATAATTTGCTGCTGTGGTGAGCATAAGAATTTCTTTCAAAAACATAAAACATTTTATATAATATTTATATGAATAGATGTTGTGTTTATGTGTATGCATGTTTAATGTTTTTGAAAGAAACCTATTTTTACTTCAAATATGCATACACTGGTTTTGGAAGTTTTTAAAACAATTTTTTTTAAAGAAATGTCATGTTCATCAAGGCTGCATTTATTTGATAAAAAAACCGTAATATTGTGAAATATTATTGCAATTTAAAATACAAGATTTCTATTTTACTATACTTTAAAATATTCTTTATTCCTGTGATGCAAAGTTGAATTTTCATCAGCCATTACTCCAGTTTTCAGTGTCACATGATCCTCCAGAAATCATTCTAATATGATGATTTGTCGTCAATGTTGGAAACAGTTGTGCTGCTTAATATTTTTTGGAACCTGTGAATAAAAAAAGTAAAACAGAACAGCATTTAAATTATAAATCTTTTGAACCAATATACACTACCATTCAAAAGTTTGGGGTCAGTAAATTGTTTTCTTTCTTTTTTTGAAAAGAGTTAATACGTTTATTCAGCAAAGATGTGTTAAATTGATAAAAAAAAAAAGTCATAGTAAAGACTTATATTGTTAGAAAAGATTTCTATTTTGAAGACTTTTTAACTTTTTATTCATCAAAGAATCCTGAAAAAAGTATCACAGGTTCCAAAAAAATATTAAGCGGCACAACTGTTTCCAACAGTTATAATAAAACAGCATATTGATCATAAATCAGAATGATTTCTGAAGGATCGTGTGGCACTGAAGACTGGAGTAATGGCTGATGAAAATTCAGCTTTGCGTCACATGAATAAATTATATTTTAAAGTACCGTATTGACCCGAATATAAGACGATGTTTTTTTCTATTCGGGCCAATACGGTATATCAAAATATGTGAAAACCATATTTGACAATATTACTGATTTCTGTATTTTTGATCAAATAAACGCAGCCTTGATGATCTCAAGGGACCTTTAAAAAAAAAAAAACATAAAAAATCTTACTAATCCCAAACTTTTGACTGGCAATATATACTTTTTTCAGTATTAAATCATGTGACTAGAGATGCAGGTTTACTGATACTTTCTACTTTGTTCTGTTCTGCTCTCTTTCAGATTTCTTGTTTTTCTGGGGGATTGTGTTCATGGTTTCTACCACTCTGGTTGCTGTCTTGAAAAAGGAAAACAACAAACAGCACCATACTAAGAAGAAGCCTAAAGAGGAGACACAGAGTGTTATGGAGACCTACGAACTTTTGTTCTCCATAATTAAAATGCCCACTGTCTTTACCTTCTGTATCCTTCTGCTGACCGCTAAGGTAATGTCACTTAGCCGGTCCTTACTATAGTCATCTTCCTGTTTTAACTGCTGTAACTTTATAGTTTTATGCAAATCAGTCTAAATCATTCCTCTTCCTCTCTACTTTCAGATCGGTTTCTCTGCAGCTGATGCCGTGACGGGGCTGAAGCTAGTGGAAGCTGGGGTTCCTAAAGAGCAGCTGGCTCTATTGGCGGTTCCCATGGTGCCTCTGCAAATCTTGCTGCCTCTAGTTATTAGTAAATACACAGCTGGGCCACGTCCTCTTGACATTTTCTACAAAGCTTTCCCATTCAGGTACAAACAAAATCAACACACATGCCCATGTGACTCTACACAAGATTTGATACAGCCACATGTGTAATCATTAGAGGGAATGCATGCATTGGGTAGAGTAATAGGAAACCTGTGGCTTGTGTTCCTCAAAGGCTGCTGATTGGTTTGGAGTATGCCCTGCTGGTCTGGTGGACCCCAAGTGTTCGGCAGGAGCAAGGCTTCCCAGTGTATTACTATGCTGTTGTGCTGCTGAGCTATGCAGTACATCAGGTTAGTTTATATTAACTTTGTCTGCAGTTTGATCTGTGACTTTTTTGGTAAATGTACACTGTCGTTTAAAAGTTTGGGATCAGTAATGTTTTTTAATGGTAAAATATGTATATACACATACTGGTAAAAAATGTATAGCCTGAATGCACTGTAAGTCGCTTTGGATAAAAGTGTCTACTAAATGCATATTATTAATGCATATAAGTGTCTATTAAATGCATGTTATTATAAATTAAATTATTATAATTAATTATAATTATAACGGATTCTCTTATGCTCATCAAGGCTGCATTTAGTTGATCCAAAATACAGAAGAATAAAAAAAAAAAAAAAAATATTGTGAAATAATATTGCAATTTCTAATATTGGTTTCCTATTTTAATAAATATAATTTATTTCTGTGAATTTTCATCAGCCTTTATTCCAATCTTCAGTGTCACATGATCCTTCAGAAATCATTCTAATATGCTGATTTATTATCAGTGTTGAAACTGTTGTGCTGCTTAATATTTTTTTTGTGATACTTTTTTCTTTGATTCTTTGATGAATAAAAAGTAAAAAAGAACAGCATTTTTTCAAAATAGAAATCTTTTCTAACAATATAAGTCTTTACTACCACTTTTTATCCATTTAACATATCCTTGCTAAATAAAAGTATTAATTTCTTAAAAAAAAAAAAGAAATAAACAATTTACTGACCCCAAACCTTTGAATAGTAGTGTATATTGTAACACAACATTTCTATTATAAATAAACACTTTCTTTTTAACTTTTTATTCATCAAAGAATCCTGAAAAAAATATCACGGGTCCCAAAAAATATTAAGCAGCACAACTGTTTTCAACATTGATTTTAAATCAGCATATTAGAATGATTTCTGAAGAATCATGTTACACTGAAGACTGGAGTAATGATGCTGAAAATTCAGCTTTGCTTCAGAGGAATAAATTATATTTTAAAGTATATTAAAATGGAAAACTGTTATTTTAAATTGCAATAATATTTCACAAAATTACAATAAATAAATATCACGTTAATGTAAAAAATATTGAGTGATATAATTTGTGTTTGTTTGTTTGCTGGGTTTTATTGTATTTATTATACTTTTATTGTTTTTGCCATGAAAATAGCCATTGATGCTGAAATGGCATTAAATAAATATATATACTACACTACGATCAAATAAATGCAGCCTTGATGAGCAGAAGAAACTTCTTTAAAAAAAATTAAAAATCGTACTAATCCCAAACTTTTGAACGGCACTGTATATGTTTGTGTTTTTGTATTTACTTATATATTTATGTATTTATTTATTGATTTACGTTGATTAGTCAATAAATCCTGATTTATTTATTTGCACGTATGCATACATACATACATGCATACAATGTTATATTACTAGGGCTGTCAGTCGATTAAAAATTTTAATCTAATTAATTACATGATGTCTTGATTAATTCATATAATTAATCGCAAATTACATTTGGCTGTGAAAATACCCCCAAAAGATTATTTAAAGCTATTTTTGTGTTAAATGAGAAGGTATTAAAGGGGTCATATGATGCGATTTCGATTTTTCCTTTCTCTTTGAAGTGTTACAAGCGCTTGGTGCATAAAGAAGATCTGTAAAGTTGCAAAGACTAAAGTCTCAATTCCAAAGAGATATTCTTTATAAAAGTTAAGAGTCAGCCACGTCTACCTAAAACGGCTCGTTCTAACACAAAATAATGTTCTTTTTAGCAGCATCATATGACCCCTTTAAGTAGACATTACAAATAGTAGCTTTTTTTATTTTTATATGATTCAACATCAAATTTATTACACATAAACATTTAGGCTACAACGGCCTTGCATAAATGGAACATAAAAGAAGATAATTTGAGAAACATCTCAGTTTTTTTTTTCTTTTTCATTTATGCAATGAAAGTCACTGGTAACCAAAACGGCTTTGTTACCAACTGTCTTCAAAATACCTTCTTTTATGTTCCACAAAAGAAAGTAAGTCATTCAGGTTTGAGTAAATGATGACATAATTAAATTTTTTGGGGGGCGAATTATCCTTTTAAAGTTTTTTTTTTTTTCCTTTTTTATTTATTTATTTATTTATTTTACATGAAATAATACAATAATACTCTAAATAAGGAACTAAAGCTGCCAGCAGGTGGCGGTAAATGTCTTTATGAGTCATGCATTCATTCGATTCGTGCAAACGGCTGATTCATTCAATAATGACGTAAACGGCTCTCTCTATGAATGGGCCTTTGAATCATTGGTCAACCCGATTCGTTCAAAACGCGGATTCATTCAGAATCACCGCTGTGTTGCTCGGAGACGCGCAGCAGTTGTGCTGTGGCTTTAGGTAATATTTTTGTTGGCAAAACTGAGCAAAAATAGACAATATTGTGTTTAAAATATAACACAATAGTAACTTCTTTTTTACTGAACTGTTGTATAAAATCAGATTTGCACTCGTGCTACTGGGACATAAACAGCACTCGTGTGAGTACTGCTCTCGCTGCTCCTGTGATATCGCTTATCATATGACATAAATATGAGACAACAACTCATACAGGAGCAGTTTTGCACCAATATCTTGAATTTTAGGGCATGACTGCATTTATGGAGTTGTTGCCCTTCATCATAGGCATATTTGTCAACAGTCAACTGTATGTAATGTAAGATGAAGTACAGGTCTGGGGGGCGAGGCCAGTGCGTTAACTGCGTTAAAATATTTTAATCGCGTTATTTTTCATAACTAATTAAGTTATATTACATTTAAAAAAAAACTCAAATTCAGACTACTGTTACATTTTTATTGTAATTTTGTGCATAATTCATTGATTCTTACTTATTCTTCATTTTTATCTTTTAAATGTTTTCTTTCTTAAAAAGCCTATTTCTTATATATGTTGAGAATGTCTTCAAGTTTTGTAAAATTGCACACACAGGCCAGCCATAATTATATATTTTATTTATTACTATAAAAATATAAGAAAATTGAGAGGCCACTCAGCATAAACAAAGTGTTTACATGTGTTTTTTTATTTAATTATAAAATTATTTATTTCAGTTTAATCGGATTATATTCCCTAATATGCAATTTAATAGATTTCATATATATATATATATATAATAAATAATTGATCATTTAGATTAAAATCAACAATTATTTAGGTTTTTGTACTTGTGTATTCACTGTGAAATGTCTTTCTCCACTAGGTGGCACTATACAGCATGTATGTTGCCTGCATGGCCTTTCACGCCAAGGTCAGTGACCCTATGATAGGGGGCACCTACATGACCCTTCTGAACACTGTGACTAATCTAGGAGGGAACTGGCCCTCTACTCTAGCTCTATGGCTGGTAGACCCTCTCACCTTTAAAGAGTGCCAGGGAGCCCCAGGACAGACGTGCGGCTCGGTTGAAGAAGCAGGGGTAAGTGTTTAATTGAATCACATTTCCAGGCATTTGCTAATTGGTGACGTTTAACTATGTCTATAATTTTAACCTGTTCTTATATTGTCTTCAGCTCTGTGTCAGAGAGAGCGGCACGTGTGTGACAACGTTGGACGGTTACTACGTTGAGTCTGTGGTGTGTGTTCTGATCGGTCTCTGCTGGTGGATCTTCTTCGGGAAAAAAATGAAGCGGTTACAGGAAGAGAGCCCCTCTGCGTGGCATTGCAGGGTTGCCAAATAGCATCTCTACTGGACTCTGTCTCTTGTTGTAAAGTTACTTCATGCCTTGCCCTCTCTTTCCTTCTCTTGAGTAACTACTTCTTTTTGTCATGCTAAAGCAGGCCTGTAGACAGGCTTAAACACTTTGAGGACAGAAATAGTAGAATATAGTGTACTATTAAATTCTTAGCATGTCTGTTCCATTATCCCCAAGAACCAGAGCTTTTATGCCAAATTGAAATCTGTACATCTATGGCACTAGCTTACGTGTGAAGTACATGATATACAGTAATGGCATGACATTCACTGCTCAGATGCCTATTTCATCAAGCATTTGTCTTAGAAATACTTGAGTTCCTGTGCCTTGTGCTTCTCTGTTTCTAATATCATACAAGTTTCTCCCAAAAAGACTGTGGGTCTTCTGATATATTATACATTACACCAGTTGTTGCTGCAAAATTCACATTTCAGCTTTTATGCTTTTTCTGCAGAAAGACTTGATTCTATTTGAGCTCTTCAGGTGGAATGTAAATATTTATACAGTATTGACCAAAATGGTCTCATCAATCACATAATTGTGAATGAAACTGGTTGTAGAACTATTGAAATTGGTTATAGAGGTGAAATGGTTTTATTATGTGTATATAAATCACTGTTACCTTAAATGACCTAGGTATCAATATAAAAAGCAAGTAAAGAAATTGAACTATAACTTCTGCAAGGCCAGGAAAAAAATAAGATTGACAAAGACTATATGTATTACTACTTCTTTTTTCCCGCTTTTTCTTTGTATTTTTATGGCCAGTGATTTTAATGAAGTTTGAATGTGTGTGTGACTGAACGTACTATTCATGAAACCAGCTTTGTCTTTTAAGACAACTAATTTTGTTAGCGCTACCTAAACCCATGTCAACAAAGTTAATCATTAGAATTTCTATAAATGATTTAAGCTTTTCAGGAGTGGAGAGGAAAGCCTAGAATTTACAACGGTAACATTTGTTATTATTTGACTGGGATATTTATACAATTACCAGCACGTTTACTAAATGTTGCTTTTTTACTGATGACTAGGGAAAATTTAAAGAGATTGTTCACCCAAAACTGACAGCTCTGTCATTAGTAACTCATCTTCATTCTTCAAAACTGTATGACTTTCTTTAATAAACACAAAAGAGGGGACATTAGGCACAATTTAAATAATGTTGGTAACCAAACAGTTTTTTCCCACTTTCTTCAAAATATCTTCTTTTGTGTTCAACAGAAGAAAGAAACTCATACAGGTTAATGATGACAGTAAATGATGACAGAATTTTCATTTTTGCGTGAATTATCGCATTAAGGACTGGCAGCCTCAATTTACTTTTACATCATCGTTTTCTTTGAAAGTGAATGATGCTTAAGGCTATCATTCTGACAAATCTTCTTTTGTGTTCCATTAGGTGAAAAAAAGCCAAATGAGTTTGAAAGAACTGGGACTGAATGGCAGAATTTTCTTTTTTGTAAACTATCCCTGTAAAATACTGTACTGTATGGCTAAATATTTGACCTGCTGTAAAATTTCCCTCATGCAAATTTCTTTATATTTGTACTCTTCATTAAGCGTTCACCTTAATTTGTGTCATATAATGGGGAGAGAAGTTTGAGGAGAGGGTACAGCTGCAGTGTGACTTTGATCTTTGTAAATACTTGTAAACCGTTCCAAGGAACGTTTTTATCAACATTCCCAAACTCGATGTAAAAAAAATAAATGCATATCTTATATACAAATAAATGAAAGGAAGTCTGGTCCATTTGTGTTAAGGCTTTCCCTTATAAAGTTTGTACACGTAAAACTGAAAACGCTTTTCGCTTTTGGCCTAACTCGCTACCCTTAAACAGTAGGCGTGGCTTCATTTTGTAGTTCTTCCTCTGTAAACAACATGCCGCCTGCAGGTTCGGATCCTTCAGATGTGAACGAGGAGAACAAGCCCTCTAAAAATATCATTGCACATATATCACAGTTTGCTGACGATAACTTAACGTTTGTCCGGGTAAGTAACAGATTTGAACAATGCGTGTCATTTGACAAAATGACAGCTCCCTGTATTGAGATATTGAGTTGAACTACGAATTGTATGCCAGCTGCCCATGCAAGACGCAATAAATGTTATATTGTGCTATGTTGCGTGTCATTTGACAAAATTGTATGCCAGCTGCCCATGCAAGACGCAATAAATGTTATATTGTGCTATGTTGATATTTGCATATTTTAATATGCTCCCCAACAGAACATCAGCACCTGTCTTGGTCTCGTGGGTCTTCTCATCATAGCAAGGAGCATCAGACTGGTAAATGCAACACACACGCTTGATGACACGCTTTTATTTCCCTGTAACTCAACTCAACTTTTATTTATAAAGCACTTTCAAAACCATTACAACGGACCAAAGTGCTGTCCATACATAAGAAATAATACTAAAATTCATGCAAACATCAAATAACAAGACATAACATCAAGAAAAACATGCAGCTAATCGCTCACAATTCTCCGACCTAATCAAACGCCGAAAGCTTGATAAAATAAGTAAGTTAGGTCTTCAAGTCCTTTAAGTTTGAGGAAAGTGTTAATGCTAATGCTTTCGTTTTTATATTGGGGCGTGGCTACCAGTTTAACAATGTTTTTGTTTGGAGCTAATATTACCACCCCTTTATGGAGCTTATAATATGACAAAACTATTTGAATTTGTATTGTATAAATTTGAATTATTGACAAGTGGCATTTATCAAAACTGAATATTATGTGGCACTTAACATAGTTCTGAATTAGTCTGTTTACTTGAATATTGAACACTTGAAATTTAACACGACTGAAGTTTTATAGACATGTAGGCTATTTTCAAACAGTGAATTTTTTTTGTTCTAATTCAATATTCTAAAATTCAATATGCAGAAATTCAGATAGTAGGCTACAGAAAGTAGGTAAGAGGCAATCCACAGGGAAGAGTAGATGATCTCCGAAAAGTCAAATGAAGCATTTTGGCCAATTAGTAGTTTTCTGGTGTTCAGATCAGGTTGATCTAACTGATCATGAATCGCCCAGAGGTATCCTTAGTCATTCTTAAACATTTATGGTTTATATACACTTATGTTAGGTTAGCGTTCTCAGCATGTGATATTTGTCTAAGCCAGTGGTTCTCAACCTTTTTTATTCTAAGGCCCCCCTCCTCTCCAAGTCAATACATACTTTGCAAAAATTTCACTGCAGATATTCTTTACAACTTAAAAGTACTTAAAAGTACGTAAACCTCAATTATACAGTAACTTTAACAAATAAACACAAGTCAACCTGCCATACCAAACAAGACCACAGGGAGACGCCAAAGGAATGCATACACGGATCCATGCAGAATAACTAATCACACCAAAATACAAATGAAAAATTAAACCATTCTCACAACCACCGTGTCTAGACCGGACACGAGCAGTGAGACGTGTCGCGACAAAAGACAGCAGAACCTTTTTATAATCAATACTGACTACACTGAATGTGAAATTCCCAACAGCAAACGGATTCCCCGTTCTATTTCTGATGTAGTCCAAGCTCTTTGCAACGGCCGCTTTGTCGTTTCAAGTAGTCATATCCGTATAAACATGGTGTTGCGCCGCATCCAGTGTAGGAAATATCACTGATTATAATCAATGGGCTCTACTGTCTTTTTTGCTTTGGCTCGTGTCCATAGACACAGTGGCATTCTAATCACTTTCACACCAAATAAACTTTAAAACAAACACCAGAGACCTCTTAGATAAATGTTTCACATGCTGAGAACGCTAACCTAACATATAGGCCTAAATCAGGGTTCCTCAAATCTTGCCCTGGAGGTCCAATGCGCTGCAGAGTTTAGCACCAACCCTGATCAAACTCAGTTACCTGTGATTTTCTAATGATCCTGAAGACATTGATTAGCTTGCTCAGGTGTGTTTGATTAGGGTTAGAGCTAAACTCTGCAGAAAAGTGGATCTCGTGGGCCAGATTTGAGGATCCCTGGCCTAAATATAAACCATAAATGTTTAAGAATCACTTAGGATACCTCTGGGCAATTCATGATCAGTTAGATCAACCTGATAAGACAGACAGGAAACTACTAATTGGCCAAAATGCTTAATTTGACTTTTCGGAGATCATCTACTCTTCCCTGTGGATACCTCTGACCTACTTTCTGTAAGATCTGAATTTCTGCATATTGAATTTTAGAATATTGAATTTGATGTAAAACAAAAGTTGTTAAATTTCAAGTGTTCAATATTCAAGTAAAAAAAATCAAATTCAGAACTATGTTAAATGCCACATAATATTCAGTTTTGATAAATGCCACTTGTCAGTAATTCAAATTTATACAATACAAATTCAAATAGTTTTGTCATATTATAAGCTCCATACATCTTCAGTAAGTCGATTTGACTTACTGAAGTGAACGGGTGGTAATAATAGCTCCAAAAAAAAAAACATTAACTGGTAACCACGCCCCAAACTCACACCATTGGTTGAGGTGGCAGAATGTTTTACTGATTGGCTAACACACGCTACATGCTGTTGCCAATTTAGCAATTTTGTTGCTAGATTTAGCAACTTTTCAGACTAGGCTACCCTAGCAATTTTTTCTTCAAAAAGCAACTAGCAACAAATTTAGCTATTTTTAAAATGTATTTGGCAACTTCTAGCAACTGTGATTCAAATGATAAGAAGGCATACATTTTTTCCCCTCTAAATTACACAAAAAAGAGGAAATCAAAGGTGTCTAGCAGTACACATATCACGTAAATTAAGTTGCTAGTTGCAATTGTTCAATAATAATTGTTCAGTAATTAATCATTTATGATAACACCTTGTTATTAGTTTGTACCTGCACTTGAAAAATGGAAAACCTGTGAAAAATCAATACAGAAAATTCCTTCAAATTATCACAGTACATTGTGCACCATTTTACAGTCATTTCTTGAAGTGTAGCATACTAACTACCAATACACTGCTTAAAAATATTGTTCAGTATGTGTAGTTTTACTAGTTAATAAGAAAATAGGTCAACATAAAATATAATCGTTCAAAAATGTGTAAATGTTCAATAATTAAATTTTGTATTTAGTGCTGTCAAACGATTAATCGCGATTAATCGCATCCAAAATAAAAAGTTTTGTTTACATAATATGTGTTTATTGTGTATATTTATTATGTATATATAAATACACACACATACAGTATATATATTGAAAATATTTACATGTATTTACATGTATATATTATAAATACAATAGAGTAAAGATACAAATAAAATAAACAGTGATTTTCAGTTTTTTTTAGGTAGGTCTAACATTAGTTTTTAGGTACAGAAATTGAATAAAGTAATGAAATGTAAAACAGCATTGCATATTTGATTGTATAAATTAAAGATGAATCCTTATTAAAGGTACAAAAGCTTTTCAATCAAGAGCAGTGAGTGAATTCTTTGTTGTTGCTATTTGATTAATATTAAGAGCCGTGGTGGAATGTTCTCTCAGAATTAAATAAAAAAAGAATATATTCTTTAAAGGGATCATATGATGCGATTTCAATTTTTCCTTTCTCTTTGGAGTGTTACAAGCTCTTGGTGCATAAATTTTAGCAGCATCATAATGACCCCTTTAATGAATTCGTCACATTATAATGGTCGGGATGGCACTAAACGTAGGCCTATATTGTCTTAAACAGCATTATTAAAAAATAAATACAATAGGCCTAAATACAAAAATACATACGAATGTAGGCCTGTCAGTTTTTAATGATTTAAGCTTAGTTTAATGATTGAATAGCCTATATTGAAAACCAAATGTAGCCTATAGGCTATT